CAGCGTAGTGTCCAGAGCATGGAGGCACTACCAGGAGACAGGCCAGTACATCAGGAGACGTGGAGGAGGCCGTAGGAGGGCAACAACCCAGCAGCAGGACCGCTACCTCCGCCTTTGTGCAAGGAGGAACAGGAGGAGCACTACCAGAGCCCTGTAAAATGACCTCCAGCAGGCCACAAATGTGCATGTGTCTGCTCAAACGGTCAGAAACAGACTCCATGAGGGTGGTATGAGGGCCCGACATCCACAGGTTGGGGGTTGTGCTTACAGCCCAACACCATGCAGGACTTTGGCATTTGCCAGAGAACACCAAGATTGGCAAATTCGCCACTGGCACCCTGTGCTCTTCACAGATTAAAGCAGGTTCACACTGAGCACATATGACAGACGTGACAGAGTCTGGAGATGCCGTGGAGTGGATTCTACTGCCTGCAACATTCTCCAGCATGACCGGTTTAGCATTGGGTCAGTAATGGTGTGGGGTGGCATTTCTTTGGGGGGCCGCACAGCCCTTCATGTGCTCGCCAGAGGTAGCGTGACTGCCATTAGGTACCGAGATGAGATCCTCAGACCCCTTGTGAGACCATATGCTGGTGAGGTTCGGTTGGGTTCCTCCTAATGCAAGACAATGCTAGACCTCATGTGGCTGGAGTGTGTCAGCAGTTCCTGCAAGACGATGGCATTGATGCTACCGACTGGCCCACCCGTTCCCCAGACCTGAATCCAATTGAGCACATCTGGGACATCATGTCTCGCTCCATCCACCAACGTCACGTTGCACCACAGACTGTCCAGGAGTTGGCAGATGCTTTAGTCCAGTTCTGGGAGGAGATCCCTCAGGAGACCATTCGCCACCTCATCAGGAGCATGCACAGGTGTTGTAGGGAGGCCACACACACTACTGAGTCTCATTTTGACTTGTTTTAAGGACATTACATCAAAGTTGGATCAGCCTGTAGTGTGTTTTTCCAGTTTAATTTTGAGTGTGACTCCAAATCCAGACCTCCATGGGTTGAAAAATTTGATTTCCATTTTTTTATTTTTGTGTGATTTTTTTGTCAGCACATTCAACTATGTAAAGAACAAAGTATTTCGGAAGAATATTTAATTCATTCAGATCTAGGATGTTATTTTTGTGTTCCCTTTATTTTTTTGAGCTGTGTATATATCATCAACAAAGTATTAAGTTATATAGCGTTATAAAATATAAAACAATGAAAGGAAAGAAAACTCCTTTACTGATAAAATAGTAAATAAAGAGTTTCAGGGTAGGGCACCTAACTAATAAATTCCTGAACTAGTAATTAGGAGAAAGAGTTAAAACACTGAGCAGGTACAGATTGTGTGCCAATTACAAATCTCACTGAAATAAAAGCCAGAAACAGGAAGCCAAAAAACAGGTCCCTAAGGCAGGCATCTGTCTTAAATGATATCATTTGTCAAATTTCCAGCATCTTGTGGTTACAAACACAAAAAGAAGTTCTGTGCTGTACTAAGGACATTACATTCTCATTAGCCAGAATGTTCCTGAAGTACATAATACATGGGTTTCACTTAATAGGAAGCAGCTATAACCCCTTCTGCTTTGGTGTACACAAAATAAATATTGAAAGCAATTATCTTTTGAACATGTGCGGGCCATTGCATTTTTTGTTTTTCAACCCTTGCAAACAACATACACCAAAAACATATTTTAAATGTTCCATATTCATTGGTTAATTTACATTTTGATGCAACTAAATGAGCTGGCAACATTTTCCCCCTCTTTTTTTCTTTTCTAACAAAATACTTTTTGCATAGGGCTTGGTAGGTGCTTTATGTCCACACCAAATGCACACGCATGCATAATGAAATGTAAAGTGATTCGGAACTGATAGGTCTTAGTAACGACGCTAAGGTATCGCTTAGTCTGTTAGTAATTTGTATACAGTTGGCATCTTCAGAATATTTTAAAGTACACAGATTTTGGGCACATCTGCATTTTTAAAGAGGTAATTGTACTTTTTTTTTTGTTTTGTTTTTAATATCGTATTAATCGTGATTATTTTGATTAATTGTTGCTACTCTTTTAAGTCCACAAAAGTGTAACATGAATGAGACAACTTCAATACAAATGCCCTGTGTGTGAACCTCGTGAGCCTTAGTTAAATAAAAGGTCATACAATGCAAGATTGAACAGGTAATGTATCTGTTAGGACAGTGCAAAAGTGCAGAAAAAGCTACAAAGCTAACTTTTGTCGCTGATCCTAATATAGACTATTTCCGATCATGCTCACACGGCTAAATGTCTGTATAAGCATGATCACTTATTTAGTTACAACCTCTGCAAAGGTAAAGGCTAATCTTCATTGTAAACTAAAAAAAAGTCTAATGCATTGTTTAAAAAAGTGCATGGCAAATCCTAATTACAGCAGAGTTTCATTTAACATAATTGTATACTTTGGTTTCAATCCACGAAATAAAGGGGGGGGTGGGGGGGAGGAGGGCATCAAAAGATAGAAAAGCTCCCACCCACCGTTAGCTATGCTTAATCAAAACTAAGTTCAAAGTCAGGCGTCAAATACCTAGCAACCCTTTGCGTGTTTTTATAATGAAGCTCAGAGCTGTCATCTGTATTGTTTAAATATACTTTATTTGTTTTAAGGGATCATATTTTTTCATTCTTCAAATATCACTTCTCAATACTGTTGTAGCTGGAGGGATCTATCATCAATATGTTAGCTTTTTATCTTGATTATGGGCCCATTGAATTGAAAGAACCTATGACTTAGTTCACTTCACAAGAGGTAATTTCGGTGGTAATATACATATTGCTGTAGTGCTTGCAAAGGATTTCACATTTGTATTTGCATAGTGAATAGCTAAGTGTTTGAGATCTACTGTATGGTAAATGTGATAATATTCTTCTATTTGATTCTATTTTAATATATTTGTGTTTTAATCGGCCATTGGAAGACAAATGAAAAGTGCTTCACTATGGCCACAATGCACAATGTATAAGCATGTACAGCTGTTATATATTATATACAGGCTCATGTGTAAAAAAAAATATA